CCATATAGAATTTCTCCAACAAGACGTTCTCCGGAAAATCATGATTCTGCAATCTTACCAAGTACTGCTTGAATCTCACCTAAGCTTCATGAAGTTCTCCCCCCTAAAGTTGCTTAAAGAAGAAAATTTGATCTCAGAGCTCGGACTTCTTGCTCGGTGGAAACCACTTCGCTAGGAAAACATGCACTAGCTCGGTTCAGGTATGGATGGTGTGTGGAGGTAGTTTGTTTAGCCATATTCTAGCTTCTCCCGCAAGAGAGTATTTGAAAACTCTCGACCTCAATGCATCATCCAACACATGATTTTACTTGTGCAATGCATAAACACCCACGAAATTTTTGAAATGTTATAAGGTTCATCATCGGCTGAATTCCGGAAGAATCCCTCAGCCTTTAGCGTCACATAAAGATTTGTGATCCACCGTAAAAGTAGTCATATCAACTCTTGGAGGGACAATAGCATTTGCATCATCAATAATTTCATCAATATTCGCAAACACATTCACATCCTCACGTTCACCCATGATTCCTCCTGATTTCACAAGACAAAGCAAACAAAGAGTGATAGAATAGAAATGACTTAAAGTATAGTGCAGATTAATTAATAATTTCAAAACTATAATCCCCGGCAGCGGCGCCAAAATTTAATATGCTCAAATTACACCTTTATAAATAGCGTAAAACGATCGACGCCAAATACAATAACCCAACTAGGTTAGGGTTGAATCACACAGGAACACAACACACAACACAAGCCAGTAAAATCCCACAAGTGGGGTCTGGGGAGGGTAGAGTGTACGCAGACGTTACCCCTACCCCTGGAAGGGTAGAGAGACTGTTTTCGAGAGACCCTTGACTCAGACAATAATATCAAAAAAGAACAAAAGAATAGATCTGTAACAACCAAAGAACCAAAAAAAATAATCGAATCACACAGGAAGTGGCGTGAAAACATTGCTTTACTAGTGTGACACTAGATTATGGTCGTAATTATACCCCGTTAATTTGAAACGAATTTGATATTGATAATTTATGAAGAAACGTTATTTTGTTAAAAGATTTAACTATTTGATTAAGAAACCAATGATGTGTCATTTTAATGGAATATAATGCTATAGGTGTTAATATGATATATTTCTAAAAGAAAGTTCTTTGATATGCAAATGTTCCTTAAGTGACTATCTAATATTTTCCAATAGTTACGTAGAATTTCCTCTTTATGATTTTTTCAAATGCAAAAGAGACAAAAAATGATCAATTTATGTCGAGTAGCATCTTCTTATTCTTAAGTGATTCTATTAAATAAAGTTTAAAGCCTTGAGTTCTAACTAACCATTTGTACCAAACCCTAATTCACTCTACCACGTGAAGAAAAAGTTAAAATTGCATGAGTTAATATTTGCAACCACTAACTATAAATAAATAAAAGAATGAATAAAAATTAGCAACCCATTATATATATACATATATATATATGGTAAACACTTATTAACATGACACTCATCATTGGGTCAACAACCTTACTATTAAAATTAGTTACTCATTACAACTAGAAGACAAAAACATTAAAAAAAAAACAAGTTAGAAAAGTGAAGGAATCTCTTCAAAAAGCTTCAATGAAATAGAGTATTCAATGTGTAGGACCTTTTACAGACCAAGATACCCCACAAAAACCCTAACTATTCTATTTATATTTATATGTCAAGTTAATTAATTTTTGTTAATGGTCTTTGTATTTTTAACTCATCTATTAATCTTATTCTATATTTACCTTTTGAATTCAAACATGCAAGTACATGGAGATTCAAACAATAGTTTCACCTAACTTTTGATACAAGACTCAAATTTGCAAGCAGGAGGTTGCAATCAAAACTAACGCTCAAACAACACCCAAGCAAATGTTGAATCAATTATGAAGAGAAATCATTTTAAGCATAATCCAAGACTCTCTATTGCATGTGAATCTCTTTAAATATGCTTTTATATTCTTCATATAGGGGTATTCTTAAACAATTTATCTACTAATTTTCTACATATATTACATCTATGAACTTCGTATCTGTAATTTAAAAGTAAAAATATCTACAATAGTAAAAAAAAAAAATATTCCGGTACTAGAAATGTCAATTGAAGAAGAATTTTAGAAATCTAAAAATTTCAATTTGAGACATCTAGAATATGTTTTTTTCCTTTTTGTGTGAGCAATATGCAGAGAAGCCAGGAGAGATAGGGAAAAATTCATATGCAAAATCCATGGATGAACGGAAGTAGCAAAAGAAGATCTTAACATGTGAGCTATATTTTTTTTTTTATTGTTAACATTTTAGCTATATTCAGATAGAATAGGAACCAGATCTGTAGAAGAACTATCCATTGAAAGTGTGGAGCTTGTATCCAAAGTAATGAATCTCGATCTACTATTGATCTCTGATGTGAAGGTTGTATCCAAAACAATTGCATGTTTATGTTTTGATAAGCATATCTTAAATGGAATAACTATGAAAGTCTGAAATTTTCGTTTGCGCGGAAGAAACAAGAATGGCTGTTAACATTGTGGAGATAAAAAAGTATTGAAGAGGTATTTTAGGTTGAATAGGTGGAAAAAACGAGAAGGCTGTGTTTGGGAGGCAACAAGGAAAGGGTACATAGGAGATGGGGCTCAAGGGAGAATGAAAAGATATGTCTATAGAATGAAAACTATTTGGTTGCAATATTAAGAATCAAAGTCTATGAGCTTCATCAGAAACAAATATGCAACAGCACCATCTTTCCAAACTTCTTACTGAAAATCATGATTTCCAAAATGATATCATGGGGCGAGTTAGTGTGGGCACGCCAGCAAGATAAAGGTGCGTCAGAATGTACTTACGTAATCAAAAGAGCTTGTCTTTTGGCGGAAGCATAAAATGAGAATGCAAATTATGGAAATAAGTTTCCTAGATATTGAACATGTCTCCAACCACGAGGCAAAATAACGGTTGACCAATAAAATTCTAAAGCAATTGTGAACATCATACCAAAACATTCAAAAAAGAGCAAGTTCACTAGCGAATGAACTTTCTATTTTTATGAGTAAAAATGAACTTCCTATCCAGCCACCATGCCATGTCAACATTCAGCAATTGAAATTAAAATGCTGGATCAATAGCAATGGAATTTGAAATTTTTACTCTCGTGAACCCTACAAGCATGCTAATCTTGGAAATCAAACTTGGAGACATGTGGCCGTGCTTTACCACAAGAGTCAGAATAAAAAAAATGAAAGATGATAAGCTTTCTTCTATAAGAAACGAAATTTTCTCGATGAGAAGAAGTACTCCATCCTAAACTCATCTCACAAAGTATCGGCCTTTGAATCATTTGCCACTACAATGATTAAGTACCTAATGCACCATATTTCAGCTACTGGTTCTACTATTCTTGGCAAAGCTGTTAAAATAATATCATTATGTTAGGCGCATGACTAAAGCCAATCAGTATATGGGGATAACTAAATGTTCCTCAAAGATACTAAAGCATCCATGTTATAGTTCCTTAGCAAAAGAACAGTCAAGAAACAAATGCAAATGATTTGTATTGGTCTAGTATGACACCTTTGTATAGGCATTTTAACATCTCCTTGAACTAGTAAAATATAAGATCAGTTCGTCACTAACATATAGCAAAAGGCACAAGGATGCTCTCAAATCCACATATTGGTGTCTTAACATAAAAATTTGAGCCATAAAATGAACAATTGTTAAACTTATCACAGTTTCTAATGCTAAAACAAGTTTAATACTTTAGCATCCAAAAGTTGAAATTTGTTACTTCCAGGAGCAACATGCAAATGCATTCACTGAAGCTAACTAATAACAGTTGGAGCAGTTAGAGAATCATTCCACCTTACAAGTTACAGTTAAGTGGTGTGAAATATTCCAAGTTCAAACATTTAATGTTTAAAAATAAGTGACATATAAAATCAGGACATTCATCCCCTTTGAACAAGCTTCTCTTTTCCTTTGTAACCAAATGCTTATGTCAGAAAAAGCAAAAGCTATCCAAAAGAGTTGGACTTCTCATAGGCAAGTAGCTACATAAAAGAGTTCATCAACTATCCAAAACATTCATTGGTCACCACTTCACCCTCTAACATTTTTTCATGCATCCATATAGTTTATAATCAGAAACCAACCACCAACAGAAAGATAAGCATCAATCATGCATAAACATAAATGAATTGAACATACCATCTTCCTTTTTTTAATAAATAAATGAATTTAACAAACCCATATGATAAAGTAAACAGTATAGACCTTGGACACATTTCTAACTTAAATGGTCTCTTAAATTTAGAAATTGCTCTTAACTTTGGCCTAAAATCTTCAATCTGAACTGATATAAGTCTCCGAGTTTGGGTTTTTTGGATTAATCCTGGTCCAATAGTAGGCATCTTTGACTTTAACGTGACTACATGAGAAAATGATCAAATTCATCCCGTATGTTCACGGCCTTGACTTCCTTTTCAAAAAATAGTTCACAGCCTTGACTAAATTCATTCCTCAAATATTTCACTAACCACCTAGTAGGAGGTTTTGAACTAAATGTCCCTTAAGTTTAGGAGTTAATCTAACTTTGTCCCTAATTGACGCCAAACATAAAGTCCTACAACTTTGCATTTTTCCATCAATGTATCTCCGATCACTAATGACGTCTATAAGTTCAGAGATAAGATTTCATCTCTCAACTATTACACTAAACATAAAATGTGGTTCAGTAGATTGTATTAAACTCATTCCAGGGTTGTGGTTCAATGGTTATGGTAGTACAACAAGAAATGTGAGGTAGCCACAAGACATGATAGTTTGAAACGGCTGTGAACCAAGTCTCGTATTTATGTGAAGAATGGTTGAGGGCAGGTCCACGAGTTTTGAAGCAACTAATTTCTCGGTTATAAAACAAATATATATTCCACTAAGGCTAAAAACATACTACATTAACCCATAAGAGGCCTCCAAGTATGCAAACTATACAAGTCTAGTTACGAGCTAGCGTAGAGCATACCTGAAGGATATCACCAATATTAATAATAATCGCCCCCGGAATGGGCTCCAAATCCACCCAATCGTCTCCAAACTTAACTTGCAAGCCAGTCACCTCATTTTGCACCAACACCGTCAACACACCAGGATCTGTATGCGGCGTCAACCCTTTCGTTAACTCCGGCTGAGGACAGTACGGATAATAATGAGCAGCCATAATCCTCGCATCCAAACAAGATAACTCCTTCAATCTATCCTCCTTCACACCTAACCCTTCACACAACAAACCCATCAACTCTTCCCCTATTTTCACCACTTCTTTATCCCACTGAATTGCCGCATCCCTACACACCTCCGGCACATGCTCCCAATCCGGTGGTGTGGGACCCAACCTGAAGCATACGATAACCCAAAAAATAATTCATTCATAATCTCATTACAAGAAAACTAGCACCCTTATTTGTAATATTGCAAAACTTACTCTGACTAGAAAAGTTTTTCCATATGAATTTTGACTATTACAAAATCCATTTAGACATTAACTAAAAAGAAACCAGAAAATACCAAAATGATAAACAATATAGATTTCTTATTCCAACCTCATCTGCAATGTGTCTCTCCAGCTGGCAGCTTTCGAGTTGTACAAATCGAAGTTCGTGGAGTACCCTACTCCACGTGACATGTCCCTACTGTAATACTTCATTTTTACTTTATCGGGATGTTCGTTGAATGTTTTTATGGACCCCACAATTCTGTTTATGGCTTCTACGGGGACTGAGTGATTGATAATCTGGAAGAATCCGAGGGTCGTCGAAGCTTGGTGAATTTGGTCAACGAGGGTGGACCGAGGGGCAGAGAAGTCAACGACGGGAATGGAGTGTTTGTAACCGGGTCGGGTTTTGGGTTCCGGGTTTGGTGGTTCTAGTGGGTGGATGAAGAAACTGGGTATAGCAGTAAGGCCCTTATCTACCAGACCTTTGACTCCGATTTTTGACTCGTCGAATTCTTTCAGTTCTTTTAAACGATCGGAGTTTGGGTTCGGGTTCAGGGTCGGGTTTGACATTTGTGTGACAAGTTTTTTTCTGCAGAAATGGAGTTTTTGGGTTGGGATTGAAGAATAGCGAAAGGGAAGAGTGGAGAGGGAAAGAGATAAGGGAAGAAATTGCAGGTGAGAAGAAGACAGAGAGTAGAATGACGACGTCATACTTAAAATGGAAGTTTGACTATTGAGTTATTTATTTAATTCAAAGGAAACAAAAGAACGGCATCGAATACAAACACAGACACGAAATAATAAAATAATATATATCTTAGATATTGTAATGTCTGACGAATGTTTGGACTTCGGACTGATCCCGAAACCAGCAACTCTAATAAAGTTAAAAAATTCAAAAGTACTAGTAGTCCTATTGCATATGAATTAATTAAAGTAAAATTTGAGCCGCTTTTGTCACAATGCTACAATAAAATTGAGAGGGTATTACAATTTACAAGTGAAAATTCAAATCTTCACCAATAAAGTGAAAATTTAGTTTGATGTTATGAAATATTATATTATGTAATGCATGTTTATAACTTTAAAGAAGTTACTTCCACTACTTCTTATTATTATGGTTATAACTGTCACACCTCCATAACCTCCTCCATGATCTTTTCCCATGATCTCAATAGTTAATATCATGCTCGTGACATCCATTTGTGTTACCTAAATATCATCCTATAAATAGAGGGTTTGGGCATCACATTGTGCACGCTTAAATACATGGAAAAAAATAAGAATTTCTCCTCTCTTTCTCTCTATATCTCTTATTTTCCTTGCTTTATATTGTTACTTTGAGCTAAGTTTTTAACACGTTATCAGCACGAATTTATATATTCTTCTTATACTTTCTATAAGAGATGAAAGCCTTCCATGGGAGCTACAACTACTTTGCTGCATTGCCAAGTGATAAGTTGACATTTCATGTCGTTGGTAAGTTAGACTATAATGCTGAGATGGGGCATCACCTATAATAAAGTAGTTGTACTGAATTAGATTTAACACATTTCTGCCGCCACTTTGCTTAATTGCTTTCCAAGCCACCAAAGTAATTGACAGGTAATAGTACATGTGAAGTTACTATGCAGGTATAGTTTTTATGATATTAAAAAAATTACATTCTTTAGGTGCACTCATAATTATTTTATGTGGTCAATATGGAAAAGTGACTTACTTCTATTTGGCAGCGAAAATATATATTACGCTAATTAATATTTTGCTTTAGATATATGAAAGATAATAATAGTTATATCATGGTTCATACTAACTAATTAGATGCACATATCATCAATCTGAGTTGATTACTTCCTCAAAAATCATATTTAAAAATAATAACTTTGAGGAGCAACACTATCTTATGTGTTTTAATATCCTGATTGAGATATGTGATTGTATGGCTACTCGCTAATTGATTTTCTAGATCTTCTGATAATATAGTTCATTTTTTGCATCAAATTAAATGTGTGATAAGATGATACAAATACTATTAAGTTTTATTTATCGCTAGACGAGTTTTCACTTATAACCGTTGAAAGTGGTAATATTTTAAAGTTTTATGATGACTGGATGTAATGATGTCATTGATTGCGGATAAGACAGTGGGTTCAAGTCCCAACGCACTATATTGATGAAAAGACGTTGGATTCGAGTTCCCACGCATTACGGCCTTACATGCCTTTATATGGGTAAAGCATTGGGTTTGACTCCCAATACACTATATTAATGATATAATAATGACTAAAGAAATATATTCATGTAAAAGCATGAAGCTTGTCCTACTTGATTCGCGCCATTCTTAAAATGAATGTGGTAGCGGTACATAAAAAGTCTAAATGAAGACAAGTGATTGACCAATGAACGTGAGCATGCCAAAGACCAAATAATAATAGTCATTACTATGGTAATTGTAAAAAAGGAGAATAATATGGATTCTCAAAATTAACCTTCAAAGGAGAAGGAAAAATATATCAATATGATCTATTAATATGAGACACGTTCACATGATTATAGTCCATTCCTTGAAAATGTGACTTGTGATAAGCATTGTAAATGAAGACCTATTCCTGAAACTGAATGTGAAAATATATATGTGATATAAATTATGCATAAGAATGTGCTTATGCATGGTTGAATAAATACTACAACTCACCTCTACCGGGAGGTTTGAGAGAAAGAAATATAATGAATATTACTGTGTGGTTACATGAATATGTCATTGATTGTCTACATGTGGTACGCTAAAAATATTTTATCGTGCCTTATAAAAGGTTATTAAAGGCTAAGTTAAATCAAGAAATGATTTTGCTTATTATGATTTTGACCATGAAAATTATTATGGTATGATTTTCCCCGTGAAGGAGACATTCACCAAATAGATAGTGTGACAAAAGATCTTGTACTACAAAGTCAATTAAGAGCTCCGAAAAAATTAATTTGTTACTACCTAGATGAATGAAATTGTTCATGGTATTGATATTGTGGTAAGTCTCAAAAGAAACTTTTTGAGTTTCAAATATATTAGCCAAAGTGGTTGGCATATTAAGACTATAAATGAAAAAAAGATTGAATATCTTCATATTACTATAATCATACTGGGTAAATGTAAAAGATTACCCGGTTTTTCTTCTATTTGTACTATACAAGTATAAGCATGATGATGCAATCACATGCCACAAGTAAACTAGAGATTTACTGAAACAAATACTATTGGCATGATCGGTTGGCTATCCTGGTTCAATTAACAATGCAAAAAAATTGATTGAGAATTCATATTGGCATATATTAAAGAAATAGAAGATTCTTCAAGAATTCTCTTGTGTTGCTTATTCTCATGATATACCAGCCAAGATTGGGATTGAATCTTTGATTTCTAGAATGAATAAAAGGTGATATATATATATATATATATATATATGGGCACAGTCACCTGTCATTGTCACGACCAAATCCTCTGTAAGACGCTGTGATGACACCTAGTTTTTACGACTAGGTAAGCCTAAACAGTTATGGAAATAATATGAATAGAAGTAAAAACTCACAATTAACTACAACAAATAGTAATATAACGGATAACTGTGCCGCTCAGCATGTACAATAACCAACTCCTCAATAATGCACAATCTTTCAAAACCCGGAACATCATGAGTCACAAACTATAAAAGGAAAACTAATATCTCTATACACCAGAGTCTAACAAAAGAAGTATAGAAGAATATGCACACAAAAATATGAGCAGAAGAGTAGCATGAGTACACCACAATGGTACCCAGTAAGTGCCAAGCCTAACCTCGGTCGAGTAGTGACGAGGTCAGGTGTGACAACTCGGCCAGTCGTCTCATGAGTTACCGCTCCGTTTCTCCCATTTCTGCTTCTTATTGCTTTGTTTATTGATTTTATGAGTGATCGGATTGGGTGGCCCGGGTTCGGAAAGGATTTGGTAAGATTTGAGACACTTAGTCTTTTTTGAGGAAGCTTAAGTTGAAAAAGTCATCCGGATGTTGAATTATGTGTTAGAGGGCTCGGATACGAGTTCCTATGGTTCGGATAGCTTTGGGAGGTGATTTGGGACTTAGGAGTGTGATCGGAATGTGTTTTGGAGGTCCGGAGTAGATTTAAGCTTGAATTGGCGAAATTGGATTTTTGACGAGCGTGGGGTCGTGCACTATTGGGGATTGTGACTTAGTCCATCCTGAATGATTGTTTTATTGCGTATTTGACTGAAAACTATTTTGCTATTATCATGTTTTGGGCTGAACGTCATACTTGGGCCTCGTGCCAACTATTTAAACCCTTAGGGGATTTTTATTGATATTTTCTCATTGTTTTGACTTTATACTTGAACTCAGTCGTATTATATTCTACTGTTTTCATAACTCAGCCATGTTAATCTTCTTTAACAAAATGATATTTTGGGCTCAGCATCATGTTTTACTATTGCCCGAGTGGCTTTTGAGATTTTGACTGAGTAAGGCCGAGGGCCTATGTTGTGAGGAAACACTTGATTATGATTATGAGGTCGATGACCTGAGATTTGTACGCCACGAGGTGGCTTGTTGATATAAGGCCGAGAGCCTATGTGATTATGCCACGAGATGGCTTGATAATGAGCTTGGGCCGTAATGGGTCCCTCCAGGAGTCTGCACACCCCAGTGAACGCGGGTACCCATTGTGATGTGAGATATAGTCCGAAGGGCTGGTATTGTTCCATGTGTTGTCCGAGGGCTGATTCTGTTGGTATTTTGCTTGAGGGGCGGTTCTTTATGTATTTATCTTTCCTAGTTGCATGTCACTTACTTGCTTAGTTGTTAAAAAGGCATTTTTAAGAAGTTTAAACTGAGCTAAAGTGACTTCACATATTTTTATTGCTTTATTGTTTTTACTGGCTTTTACTGCTTCTTTATAGCTTGTTGACGTGCCTTTACGTGGTTTCTTATTACTCAGTTTGCATTTGTTATTACTACTCACTGAGTTGGAGTACTCACTTTACTCCCTACACTCTGTGTGCAGATTCAGGCGCGTCAGGTCCTGCTTGCGAGGGTTGAGAGTTGTCTAGCAAATTTCGGAGATTCACTAGGTAGTTGTCCGGCGATTCACAGCCCAATACTTCTCCCTCTATCTTATTTCCTTCTGTTTTAGTTGTGTAATAGTGGAGTAGACTCTTTTAGACTTGTAGTATTATTATAAATGCTCATGACTGGTGACATCCCGATGTCGGGTGTCGACGCCCCTTTTTTCTCTAACCGTGGGGTCAGAAATCGGGTGTACGATATTGGGAGGACAACTCTATTCCCTTTTGAGAATTGGGTTTAGAAGTTGAAGAGTCGCCACCTAATGATTATAGTACATTAGGCCACTTTTTTATTTAGAAGAGTTTGAGTTGGAAAACTAGAGTTCGGGTAAGGGCTAGAAAGTATCTCGAGGGGAAGGTGTTAGACACCTCTCAAGATCCACTAGTGTGGTTCCTGGCCATGTTACAATTGTGACTTTACAATTAAACAATCAAGGCTCAAATAAGGACTTGCATGCAACATTGCAATTAAGTTGAAAACTTTTGAAGGTAAGTAGAGAGGACAGAAATTTATAAAAAAAATATTTGAATGGTTTCACGAGAAGAGATGAAAGCAAATAAGGGGAGGGGGGTCCTAGGTTTACAATTAATATAGATCACTTCAATGCAATACCTAGCAATCACTCCTCATAAGA